GAGCATATAGGGTTTTCAACCCACAATAAATAATTAAATTAATTATTATCAACCAACAATAACCCAGTTACCCATTCCCGTTTATTCTCACTTTTATGTCCATAAAATAACTAACACAAGGGACCTAATCTAAGAATATTTTCATCAGGGTGACAACATATGCTGCGGGGGTTCCTCAGCGATATAAGTCAAATAAGGCAACCATGAGGGGGATGGAATACACCGAATGAACACCCAAGTTCATTAACACCTACAGGTTATGAACCTGCTAGCGTTCCACTAGATTGTCTATAAAAGTCTGTGGTTGTCATCTAAATTCCGCTAGATGACTGGATCAAAACAACAACGAGGCCTTTCATCTGTTTATTACACACCAACTATCTACCCATGTTCTACCCAACATATTAGTAGATAAACACATACATTTTTATACATATTTTCAAAACATGTATAGCATGCTTGATCAATACATTTTCCATATAACAGATGAGGCACACCCACATAACACGTATTTCATATAGAAATAATCAGATATCTAAGATAGAAGAAAGTGAATTTACATTCACACACATAACAACAAAATATACACATAACACGTATCTCGTATAAAATACTTCATAATTACACGTTAGGAGAAAGTAACAACGTACTCACACATATGAACAACAATATACTTAATACACTCAAACCATACTTGTATTATTATCGTGTTTATGAAAGGTAGTATACACTCACTTGATCAGAAGATGATCGGACAGCACTACGACTTGCAAAAGTAGTAATCCTCAGCAGATCTGGAAGATCTTTTACAAAAAATCGAACTTCTCGCGGGCAGAGCTTCGGCTCGGCAACCGCACTTCTCGGGATCTTCGGGATCTCGGGATTTGCTTCGGGACTCGGGAATATTACCGGGGCTTCGGGGTATTTCTGGCATGCAAAACGATGCAAAACGGGAGAGAGAATGGAGAAACATAGCAAAGAAGCCGACTGCCCTCGCATCCTATTTATAGGAGGCTGATGCCTCGCAGTACGCGGGGCGTACTGCCTCCGAAACGTCACTGCATGCGTCATCCGAAGTCCTCGAGTGCGAGTGTCGACACTCTTCGCTGTACGCGGGGCGTACTCCGGATGAGTCCGGTGACTCGCCTCCGGATAATACCGATGTTTAATAATTAATTTTAATTATTAATTATTTAATAAACTTCGAAAATTCATATCTCCTTCATACGAACTCTGTTTTCGACGTTCTTTATATCCACGCGAAGGTGAGACTACGCTCTACAACTTTCGTTTAGACTCTGTCGGCTAATTTTGACTTTATTTTTATTATTTATTTATAATAGTTCGGGACAGAAAATTTTTGTTATAAATTCATAACTTCTTCGTTTGACGTCCGTTCTTGCCTAACTTTTTATCGCTTTGATACTAACAACGAGATCTTCGATTCTTGTTTAGATCACTACGGCTAAATATCGCTCTAACGTAAATTTCACTTTTTACGTTATTCAGCGGTGCCGGTTCTGTCGCGAAACTTCGACAGGTCATAACTTCTTCGTTATAACTCGGATTTCGGCATTCTTTATATCTTCGGAAACCTTGTTTCAACTACTACAACATTATCTAAAGATATCAAGTTTATTTTACACTTAAATTTTGACGCTTATTTTTATTCTTAATTAATCAAACCACATAATTAAGCAATTAAGCACAAAACATATAATACTCAAATAATACACTTATATTATTTCAAAACGGGTTACAAAGGTTAACCTAGACTATTACATTGCTGAAAATGGCAAGCCCAAAAACACAGGCGTTACAGTTGATCTACAAGGGACGATGCTTCCTTGGATCAGATTCGCAACTCAAACCAAAGTTGTTGAAAGAGTTTCATAAAACACCCGGCGATGGGCATTGTGGCACCAAAAAGATGATGGTAGAGTTGTCCGTGTTATTTTATTGGAATAGAATGAGCAAGGCGGTAGAAGAATTTGTTGCAAAATGCTTAGTATGTCAACAAACCAAGTATTCGACCCATGCAACCAACAGGTTATTTCAACCATTGCCCACACCAGAAGCCGTATGGGAGGACGGAACTATGGACTTCATTACAGGATTACCATTGTTAAAAGGCTTTACTGTGATTTTCGTTGTAGTTGACAGATTGATCAAATATGCACATTTTGGAATGTTACCAACACAGTACACCCAGGGTCGTTCCAAACATAGTTTGGGCCCAGGGAGAGAGAAAAAAATGGGCCTTTAAAATACACAAATGTCATCAAGTTTTTTTTTTCCTTTTTTTTTTTTTTTTTTTTTTTTTTTTTTTTTTTTGTAAAAACTCAATAATTGAAAGAAAACTACTTATACTATTTTCTAAATATAACAATTTCCATAAAATATTTACGCCCCTTTAAAAGATGGGCCTTGTAGGGTCGCCCCTATCGCCCACCCTCTGGGAGGTGCCTAACTACACTCTTTCTAAAGTAGTTGATCTGTTCGTGGAGATAGTAGTCAAACATCACGGATTTACAAAAACTACTGTGTCAGACCGTGGCTCTGTTTTTCTGAGTGCATTTTGGAAGCAATTGTTTAAAGTGAGTGGCACACAGTTGAAGTACAGTACTGCGTACCATCCCCAAATCGATGGACAGACCGAGGTAGTCAATAGAAGTTTGGTACACTATTTGTGAGCTATGGTTTGTGATCAACCATAAAAACAGACCCACTTCTTGTCTTGGGCAGAGTTCTGTTATTACAATTATGGTTATCATACTAGCATATGAATATCACAAACATGTTGGAAAGAGAGTTTTTTTTGCCAAGGATTCCTCTATCTCCATCTGAAGATGACATGTTCCCGTTCCAGCTAAAGAGAAAACAGTTTCCAATCCGATTATGTTTCGTAATGACAATCAATAAGGCCCAGGGACAAACAATTCCAAATGTAGGAATTTATCTTCCAGAATCGGGTTTCTCACACAGACAACTTTATGTGGCATTATGCAGAGGGGTATCACGTGAGAATACAAAAGTATTAGTGATCCCTGATGAACAATTCAACGGTAGTGGAGTCTGTACTGCAAATGTGGTGTATAAAGAAGTGATGTATGATCAATAATGCACAATCAAGCATGTTTTCATTTGCATTTGTAAAGAATCCAAACTTTTGATTTTTAATTTTTATTGATTTTGTATTAGTTAGCATATATCTTAATAACACTATTTGAATTGGTTATTTTATGTTACTTTTATCGTGTTGTGTCATATTTGTTTTATTTTAATTGGTTCGTTTTGTGTCAATGTAAAAAAACAAGTTATCATGTGATGTCGTGTCAGACTAAAACAAGACATGACACCCCAATTTGATAGCACTAATTGAGGGAAACGATTCTCATAAAGAAAACAATTTACCCAATAAGACAATCAACTTTACCTTTTTAATCAGGAAAAGTAGTTTTAACCCAAAATAGCAACATACATATAACTTTAAATTAAAAGAAAAACATACTTATATTTGAAGTCCAAGAAACAAATCGCCTCTAAAACTTATTTTCGTAGAAACTATTCACACCCGTCGCTTGGTGTGGGTAACGGCTAGTGTGTGTGTGTGTATATATATATATATATACATACATATATATAAGGAAAATACTAATCTAGCCAAATATACTAATTACATATCTAAAATTAGCAAAAAAAAAGAGCCAAAACTAGTCCACACAATAGTAAATAGGTTAGGGTTGACTACGGTTAACCTTCGAAAACTACTATTTCGTCGCAATGGACTACTCCTTCGTGGCCCGTCTACTGTTTTGTGGCCCATTGGCCCATAATATATAATGTTTTATTTTTCAGGTTAGGTTATTTTTTCCTCATTTTTCTTCAATTGTCTACTATTTTATCTCAATAAAGCACCCGAATAACAATGAGATACGTCTATTTTTAATAAAAAATTTAACATATTGTTGATTAGAAGTAGTTTTTGTATATGGAGATAACTTTTTTTTTTTTTGAAAAAAACTAGAAAAAAAAATTAAACTGTAGGTTTCGTAAGAAACCTACGGGGTACAAGTCCATAATGCACAAAATCATAGTTTTTAACCCAAAACCGTAGATTTCAACCCAAAACCATAGTTTTCATTAAAAAGAAACCGTAGATTTAACCCAAAATCGTAAGCTACGGTTCGGAAAACCGTATTTTAAAGAGAGAAAACCGTCGATATTAAAAAACTTACAATTTTTATATCATCAAAATGATTTTTTTTATATACTAAACACGAAATAGCAGACGAATTACAGAAACAGTAGACGATTTAAAAAACCTACAATTTTGTGGGCTATTTTGGGACAATTATTAATTTTTGGCTAAAAATGATTAATTGTTTTTTTTTTTTTTTAAATTTGACTAGATTAGTAATTAGCCATATATATATATATATATATATATATATATATATATATATATATATATATATATATATATATATATATATATATCCGAAATATGTTTATTACAATAGAAAATATATTTTTTATCGGATAATATTATGAAAGTTGTAAATTATATGTATTTTATGCTAAAGAGGTATTTTTATCATTGTCACTTAATTTCATTATATTCATTTCTATTTTCTTATTTTCATTTTTTGAAGTTAGCAAAAGCCTCTTAATTTGGAATAAAAAATGGTTTAAAAACGGTTTTCTTGATACAGAACATACTTTAACGGTTTTACTTCACAAAAGATGAGATATATTTCAACTTTATAGTAATGGCAAATTTATGTGAAAACTTTTACCGTTTTGCTTTAAAAAGATGGGAACATATAAACATTTTCGTTTTGATCATTGCATATATACAAATAGTTTTTATCAAATACTTAATCTTTTTCCTACCAAATAAGCTAATAAACTATTTTACCAAAACACATTTAATGTTTCAAAACTGAATCCCAAACCCTCATTGGCAACATCCTAAAGAAGCAAAGAAGAAAAGAATTATGACCTATTATTTTTTTCGTAAGTTAGTTGAACTTATCTTTGAAAATAAGTTTAAGTAAATTGGATCAAATATCAACAAAAGCCCAAATCTATTTGTAACAGAAAAAAGGAAAGCCCATTCACTGTTCAAACCCAAGCCCACAAAAGTAGAACTCATATTTACATATGCCCTGCTCTTACAAAACCCTAATCCCTTATTTCGCCTCTTCATCGTCTACAATCCCTTCGTCGCCGGTGCCGCTTCCAAAAGGTATGCTTCTGTAAACTCTACAGTCAACCAGCATGTGTTCATATCCCATCGTATCATATCAGTATACCGGTGTTAATGTGGTGATCTCATAAGTTATTGTCTTCGCTATGAGTTACTGGCGTTAATCTTTAATTTGAAACCATACAGAGGTTATATGTTTTCATTTTTTCTAGTCGCTTGTGATTCGAAAATTTAATCAGCATATGTCTCGTTTTGTATCTAGATTTTGTTTTTTCTAATAGAAACGAGTGCTGCGAAATAATGTTAGATGTTAACCTCACATGATTTATACGTTTAGTTATGTTATCGAATAAAAGTGATTATATTTCTTTCTTCTTGATTGATGAATCGAAGTTTTGACGCAGGTTGAAGAAATGGCTGAAGTTGCCAAGGCAGGACAGCTCGTTCCAGAGTCTGTATTGAAGAAGCAAAAGAGAAGCGAGGAATGGGCTCTTGCAAAGAAGCAAGAGGTTGAAGAGTTGAAGAAGAAGAACGCTGCCAACAGGAAGTTGATCTTCAACAGGGCCAAGCAGTACAGCAAGGAGTATGAAGCTCAGGTATCCTGCTTTAATCCCTTTCTTCGTTGTTCTACGTCTTTGATTGTATCTGATATTTGACATTTATATTTCTTCGTTTATTGTAGGACAAGGAGTTGATCCAGTTGAAGCGTGAGGCAAGGTTGAAGGGTGGATTCTATGTGAACCCTGAAGCCAAGATGTTGTTCATTATTCGTATCCGTGGGTATGTTTTGTTGCATTTTTTGATTTACAATTGTGATTCCCATATTGTTATATAACATTTTGTGTATGTAGTTGTGATATAATTCTTCTTTTTTCCACTTTTTAACATATAGTATCAATGCCATGGACCCAAAGTCAAAGAAGATTTTGCAACTTTTGCGTTTGAGACAGGTGATTTCCTAAGCTCCTTATAGATATCACATATTTTTTTTGTTGTTTGCTATATAAACCATCAAAAAGCTAAATTTCTCATCATCATATTGCTTATAATTCTATCTTTATGAAACAGATATTCAATGGTGTGTTTTTGAAAGTCAACAAAGCCACATTGAACATGCTCCACAGGGTTGAACCATATGTCACCTATGGGTAATAAATGAGTTAAATTTTAAATTCTTTATGTTTTCGGTTTCTAATCTCTTTATTAAATAAAAACTATCCTTTTTCTCAGGTACCCGAACTTGAAGAGTGTGAAGGAGTTGATCTACAAGAGAGGATATGGAAAGCTTAACAAGCAAAGAATCCCATTAACAGACAACTCTATTGTTGAACAGGTTTGTATTTTTTTGATCAATAATTTTGAAACTTGAAAGATACCATTGATGGATTTATGAATTCAATGAAACAGGGTCTTGGAAAATTTGGAATCATCTGTGTTGAAGATCTTATTCATGAAATCTTGACTGCTGGACCACATTTTAAAGAAGCAAACAACTTCTTGTGGCCATTTAAGCTGAAAGCACCATTGGGTGGAATGAAGAAGAAGAGAAACCATTATGTTGAAGGTGGAGATGCTGGAAACCGTGAAAACTTCATCAATGAGCTAATCAGGAGGATGAATTAAGAGAGAATGGTTTTGAGGTTTGGTGTTTTGAATGTTAGGAGGATTAATAGTTTGTTTTACTTATTATGTTTATGTCTTTTTGAGAGTTGGATACTTTATTTTTTTCAAGCAAAGAGAATGTCACATCATTAAGAATGTTTTCTATCTACTAGTTTTTTTGACTCATAATGCTTCTTTGGTTTTCATCCTTGATTTGCTATTGTTATCTACTAAATTTGAATTGGTTCATCAAAACTCGTTGAAACAAATTTTAAGAATGGATTCAATGTGTTCTACAACAAAACCCAGAGCTTTATTCTACGCCTCTTTGTTTCTTGCCCTTCGTTATCATGATGTTGCTCTACATGATGAAGCTAAGATCCAACATCTATTGGTTCTGATAACATATCTGGAAATGGGATCGAGAAGATCTACAAATTGTTGCTTCAAACTGGAGTTGCAGGTGAGTGGTGGTGGTTGTGGCGGGGGATGGAGGGTGATGGGACTTCAATCATATTCTTCGTTTCAATTTTAAAAGTATTAATATGATTTAAAAGGAAACATATTTTTTAATTTGTATAATTTTGTTCATTGATTTTTTGTCTCCATTTCCAATTGAACTTGTTAACTATTCAAGAAACATCCTTATGACATCTTATTATCAGAGATTTAGTCGGTTATCCATGTATTTGACAACTCCGGCGTTGCTCTATTCATTTTTTATGGCCATTTTTTTTTTTTTTTTTTTTTTCCTGGCAACAAGTGAAAACCCATTTTCTCCCATTTAACTCATTCTTCATCTTCGTTTTTTTTTTGAAAGTTGTTTTTTCAAATATTATATGAATACAACCCAAAATCTGATGAACACACATGATCTTCAACACAAACAAAAAACAATACCTATTTCCTTGTTTGTGTTTTCCGCAAAAAACAAAGACCAAAAATCGAACTTAAGAATAACCTTAAGTTGAGTTAGGGTTTTTAAACCCAGAAATTGATTTCCAAGAATAAATAAGAAATCGATTTTGTGTGTTTTGGGTACCTTGAGGATGAACATGCTCACATATGAAGGTTTTCCAAAAATCAAAGCTTGAAGGTCTAACGAGTTCTTGAAGGTCTAACGAAATTTCAATATTTGGTTTCAAAACTCGTCATGAAATCCCTCGAGTTCGTGTTCAAAACAGATCAAAGGTATATGTATGTGTGTTTATCGTGTGTATGTGTATTCATCTTTATCTATGTTCGAATTTAAAAAGCACCGAATCGATTTCAACCTCTGAAAATGAACTCGAAATCGAGGGTTTCAAGTGTTTTTTTAATCGATTTTTAATTACCCGAAGGTTTGAGTTTGAGACCATATTCTAGAAAGAATTCAACTTTCAGGTGGGTTCTTCTGAAATAAACTCGAAATCTAGGCTTTTTCTAATGGATTTGTTCATCGTGTTCTTCATATCTTTGTTTGGATCATCAGGGGTTTTGAAAGCTTATTCAGATTTGAGAGTGTGTGTGTGTTAGATCAGAAATTGCAACCCTTATTTCAGAATCCGAATATCATTACAACGATTTTGTCTTTTGCTAGGTCGGCCATGGATGAGCTTATTTTACAAATATGTGTATGTATTAGATGAACACGAACCCGTATTTGCATGTGTGTGATTTTCGAAAAAATGGGTTTTCATTTGTCGTCAGAAAAATAATGTTTCGTTGGAGAAGATGAACAGAGTATCGCCAGAGTTGTCAAATAGGCCAAAAACCGGTTAAACCTCCGATAACAGATCATAATGATGTTTTTTGAACAGTTCAACAAGTTAAATGGAAAAATGTGGACAAAAAAAAAGAACTCAATGATTAAATTTGTACAAATAAAAAAATAAATTATCCTTTTAAGTCATCTCATTTTAAAATTCAATAAAATAATTATATAACCAACAAATTTAATATTATTTTATTTTAATAAAAAATTAAGGTTAACTTTTTCAAATGTTCCATATTTTTAGTATACTGAATGACAAATGTAAGTAGCAATTTGTGTCTTTCTAAGGTTAAACGGAATGCATCACAATGCATTTATGTGTGAAGGTATATAGAGTATATTTTTTTGGAAATTCCATTTTAAACATCTCACTAAATCTAGTCTAAACATCACCCCTATAAGTAGTTTTTGGAAATTCCACTTTAAACACCTCACTAAATCTAGTTTAGACATCACCCTTATAAGTAGATCAATCAGTGTAATTACTTGAAATCATTGATAATTCTTATTTATACTTTCATAACGCCTATAAATACAAATATAAGTTACATCGAAAGCAATATAAGTATAGCTTAACTTACAAAGATTTTTCTGATAAAAGTTTGAAAATTATAATCGCAGAACTCCGACCTGATAATTACTAATGTTGAGCACTCAGGAACCTAGAGCTTCACTAGAGAGAAACTCGAGAGAGACTTGAAATGGTGTGAGGAACAAATGAGGTTTGTTGATTATTTTTAGTCAAAATATCAAGGAAGCCTACCACATACAAATTTGGTGCACGCCGTACCCTGGCTCTGGTTGGCCGCTATCCTTGTGACACGTGTCGGGTAGGCAGTGGAGCGACATGACAAATTCTAGAAGCTTGCGCATCGCACCTTTTTATGCGTTGCACATTTAAGGAAACTTTAAAAATTCGTATCTCCTTCATACGAGCTCCATTTTTGACGATCTTTATATCCGCATGTAGTTATCGATGAGATCTATAACTTTCATATAGACTCTTTTGGTTAATACTTACTTTATTTGTAAAGTTATATTTTTAACAGACTTGGAATATTAAAGTTCGTGTAAAAATCATAACTTTCTCATATGATATCCGTTCCCGAGTGTCTTTATATTGATGGATAGACAATAATGAGATCTTCAACTCTCTTTAGATTGTTTATCCTAACAATCGACCAATTTTAATATCGGTTTCAGAGTTGCACACTGCTATGCTGAAGCTATGAAAAAACAACTTTCTCTTACGAAGTCAGATTTGGACGTTCTCAATATGGATACTCTCTGTTTTACGATTACTATAATTTTCGTTTACATTACTTAGGCTAAGCAATCTATCTAAAATATAATTTTTATGATACACATAGTTGTGTCGGTTTAATCTTGCAACTTCGAAAAAACATAACTTCTTCATACGAAGTTGAATTTAAAAGTTCCTTATATGTATGAAATCTTTGTCACATATTATACAACATTGGTTAGGATTATTTATCCTAAATAATCTTCTATAGAAATGTCATTTTATCTCTTGTTATATATTAATTGCCCAACTCGAATATTCGGGCGTTACAACACCCCTCCATGTCATCTAACGCACAAGAATGTCACCCACTCCGTATAGCCTAATAGCAAGAAAAACAAAGAAACATCTCCAGTTTAATTTGTTTTCATTGGTAGTTCTTGTTGTCTCGTTGGATGAGAACCAAGTTAGTTGTGACCTAAAGTAATAAAAAAATGTTGTATGTAAAGGAAGTGTTGCACACATGTGTAGCATGAGGAAAATAACTTATATGGGTAAAAATGTTTCAAAAAATCAAAGTTTTGCATGTTTAAAAAATACCATCCAACTAAGATTTTGTACAAAAAACACCAACAAAGTATCACTTTTGTTTAAATCTTACCTATGGTAACAAACATGTGTAGGTTAACACTTTGTTTTTACATGGTAAAAAATTAAAAGAAAAAAATGACATGGGACTATACGATTGATTAAGTGAGTCATACGTGAGATTTTACCCCATTTCTCGTCAATGATAAGAAGAAAGGGAAGTCAATTCGTTCTTTCTTCTGAGTTTTTAAACGAAACCTGTGTAGTCTTCGGATGATATAAAATATGTGTGATTCAAGATGAACCTGAGGACTTGAGGGCTTCACATAGCTCGTGTGATTTTGCATCGATTTCACATGACTGTGTGATTGAAATTTCTTTTGGCATCCTAATTTGGAAGAATTCTCATCTAAAGCAATGTACTTTAGCCCTCACATGGACCGTGTGAAATTACACTGACTCCACACAGGCCATGTACCATATATAACTGCCTTTTGACCGTTTTTCCTTTTAGCTTTTATTTTTTTCCAGGATATTAGCCATTTCTCTTATAGAGAGACTCTAGAAAAAAGACAGAATACCAACTAATTTTGAAGGTTTTTGCAGCGAAACTCTCGATAACATTTGAAAACATTGATATTTGTGATTTGTAAGTTGTTTTTGCACATTAATCTTTCTTTTTGGACATGAATTTCCCTTATAGCCATGTGTGGTAAAGACCTTACCTTTCCGATTCTATTATTCGACTATGGTTTGTTTTTTAATTATACGACGATATTTTCTTTTTTAATTTCATCTAGCGATTTTGGTTTTGTGTTAATTAAGTGTTTGATTCTCAAATCGGTTTATGTTGGCCACTTGAATTTAGGTTGAATCATTTTACTTATTTGATTTGCAAAATCCTTGAATTTTTTTTGTGAAATAATACAAGGAGCAAGCATTAAATTGATTTTAATGTAGACCAAAATTGGAGGTTTTTATGCTTCTCAGCTTGTGAGAAGTATTGAACGTTGTTTGGAGCATTCACATAGAACCTAATGCCATCCTTCAATTTTGTTCTAAAAGCGTATTTAGATTAGACTTGGAAAAAGTTTATTTCAAAGAAATTATTTTGAAACAAACAACTTTGTGAATGTAAAATATTAGAGCTTTTTAATGCTTTCAAGTATCAACTTAAATAGATTTAAATTGCCATCATTCCATGATTGGATTGCATAGCCAAACCTAGGATCATAACTTTCTTATTTCTATAATTGCATTTTTGTCTTTTATATTTAATTTTATAAATATAATCACTTTTGAGAGAGAGAGAGAGAGAGAGAGAGAGAGAGAGAGAGAGAGAGAGAGAGAGAGAGAGAGAGAGAGAGAGAGAGAGACTCTATTAACCAATATTTTAAAAACTTTTTCAAATTAGCTGGTCGAATTAGGAATCGGGGAAGTGGTTCAACTAGCATTGGTTTTATGTCTATATCTAGATTGGAACGAACCAGTCGATTAATACAAAAAAACCCGGTTGAACCAGTTAAGTTGAATAAAAACAAATAGAAATAAAGCATTTTGCATAAAAATATTGGTGATCGTTTCACATCTATTTAAATTTCTTTTAAATTGAATAAAACACATGGTAGATGTTATGAAACTTTTTGTTGTGTGTATTTATCTA